ACAGAGTCTTGCTCTGTTGCCCAGGCTGGAGTACAGTGGCGCAGTCTTGGCCACCGTAACTTCCGCCTCCTGGGCTCAAGCGATTCTCCTGCCCCAGCCTCCTGAGAAATAGCTGAGATGTATCTATATTTACATCTCTACCTACAGATGATGTCACCTTTGTCTATATCTGTATCTACACACACACACACACACACACACACACACACACACACACACGAATGACAGGGCAGGGTGCGAGAACGCTGAAGGTTTGGAAACAAGCCTTGATTATTTATAGGTTTCACTTCTTTGTTTCGCAGCCAGGGCATTTGGCTCTGGGAAGTGGTGAGAACATCCTGGGTGTGTCTGGAGTCCTGGGTCTCTCCAGCCCAGTGTCTGTCAGAGTGTAGCTGGGGGTGTGGGACCCAGGGCAGAGGACTGGGGTGGGACCTGGGGGTGGCAGCAAGTGTGAGTGTTGAGGCCGTGGAAGTCTAAGGCCGGTTCTTTCATGGGTTACCGTACTGGGGCCCAGGTGAGAAGTTTAATCCTTTGGGTGGCCCAATTTGACTTGTTGCCATAGAAACCACACCATCTCAGCACCGTCCCTCCACCTGCTTCCTGGAAAAGCAGTTTGGGAGGCAGTTGGATCATTTTATTATTATTAATTTCTTTAAAAAAGAAAAAAAATATATGTATTTTAGATGGAGTTTTGCTCTTTGTTGCCCAGGCTGGAGTGCTGCATCTCAGCTCACTGAAACCTCCGCCTCCCGGGTTCAAGCGACTCTCCTGTCTCAACTTGCCGAGTAGCTGGGATTACAGGTGCGTGCTACCATGCTTGGCTAATTTTTGTATTTTTAGTAGAGACAGGGTTTCACCATGTTGGTCAGGCTGGTCTCAAACTCTTGAGCTCAGGTGATCCACCCACCTCAGCCTCCCAAAGTGCTAGGATTACAGGCGTGAGCCAGCACGCCTGGCCAATTGGATCGTTTTCATCAATGAAAGATAGTGCCTTCTCACACCTGCATGGGTATCACCTATGAACATGTAAATGTGATGGAGCCCAAAGAAATGATTTGCTCAGGAACCGACAGCTGAAGGAAGAAAAGGGAGATAACTAATGAACCTCTAGTAGCCATTTTTGGATGGAATAAAAATTGCATCTTCAGTTTTATGAATTCCAAATAAGGACTTTTTTTTAGACGTAGTCTTTTTCTTTTTCTTTTTTTGAGACAGAGTATCACTCTGTTGCCCAGGCTGGAGTGCAGTGGCACGGTCTTGGCTCACTGCAACCTCTGCCTCCTGGGTTCAAGTGATTCTCTTCCCTAAGCCTCCCGAGTAGCTGGGACTACAGATGTGTGCCACCACACCTGGCTAATTTTTTGTATTTTTAGTGGAGATGAGGTTTCACTGTGTTAGCCAGGATGGTCTCGATCTCCTGACCTTGTGATCCGCCTGCCTCGGTCTCCAAAGTGCTGGGATTACAGGCAGGAGCCACCACGCCTGGCCATAAGGACGTTTTTATGTCCTTCCATTATGAGTATGGCAACAGGCCACAGTATTATTCATGGGGCTGTAGGTTCATTGATGTGGATAGCACAGATACTTAATCAAAGATGACTGACGCTGAAAATCCGTGAAAAGACCTAGACTATCTGGGCTATTTTCTCTCTTTTGGCTTTTGCAGGATATGGGGACGTAAATGGCATTTGTTCCATTGCTTTGTGAGCCATGTCTCGACTTAACCACTGAGGGAAGATGCCTGGCATGCTGCCCAAGAGGCGGCAGGAGCAAACTCTTCAGCTTATGGTTGGTGGAAATTTCCACGGATGTGTCTTCAGGCTCAGAGGTCAATTTACTGGGCTCATGTGGAAAGCTGGAAAGGCTTGATTAAATAGTCAGTCTCATTCAAGCCATTCCACCACCTCAACCTCCCGAGTAGCTGGGACTGCAGGTGTTCGCCACCACACTTGGCTAATTTTTGTATTTTTAGTAGAGACAGGGTTTCACCATGTTGGCCGGGCTGGTCTCCAACTCCTGACCTCAGGTGATCCACCGCCTCGGCCTCCCAAAGTGCTGGGATTACAGGCATGAGCCACTGTGTCTGGCCTGTTACAGTCATTTACTTTCTTTTCTTTCTTCTTTTTTTTTTTTTTTGAAACAGAGTGTGGCTCTGTTGTTGGGCTGGAGTGCAATAGCACGATCTCCACTCACTGCAACCTCCACCTCTGGGTCCAAGCAATTCTCCTGCCTCAGCCTCCTGAGTAGCTGGGATTACAGGCACCACGTCCAGCTAATTTTTGTATTTCAGTAGATACAGGGTTTCATCATGTTGGCCGGGATAGTCATGATCTCCTGACCTCGAGATCCACCTGCATTTACTTTAAAGGAAAGTATTTGCCAAAGGGCCTTTTCTTGTGTGGAATGTTTTGACTGATCACCTTCTTCGTGTAAACGCTAATACTGTGATTTTCCTCATCTATGAGATGTCTGAGGATTCTCAAATGACTCAGCCTTCCCATGATTTTGACATCTTTCATCCAGTCTTCCAATTTTACTTTCACTTCTGCAACTTTGTCCAGCTCTGCAGGTAAAAGCCACGTGCCTGGGTGTGTTCCTTGGCTGTGCCCTCAGCGTAAATTAGATAGTGTGTCAGTTTGGAGTGCATATGGAGGCAAGTCACAGAAAGCTCTGTTTTAGAGGCTGATGACAATAAAGAAGTCATTTTTCCTGTGTTGGAAAAAGTTCATGGTAGGCACTTCGTGGCTGATATCTGTATTAGTTTGTTCTCACATCACTATAAAGAAATGGCTGAGACTGGGTAATTTCTAAGGAAGGAAAAGAGGTTGGATTTGCTTGTGGTTCCACAGGCTGTACAGGAAGCATGATGCTGGCATCTGCTCAGCATCCAGGGAGGCCTTGGGAAACCTGCAATCATTGTGGAAGCTGAAGGGAATGCAGGCTTGTCTTACATGGCTGGGGCAGGAGCAAGGAAAGAGAGAGGGGAGGTGCTGTCTCTCTTGTTCCTGCTCCAGCGATCACTGTCACTGTCGCTAACAACAGCACCAAAGGGGGATGGTGTTAAACCATGAGAAACTGCCCCAGGATCCAATCACCTCCCACCAGACCCCACCTCCAGCACTGGGAATTACATTTCAACATGAGATGTTGGTGGGGACATGGATCCAAACCATGTCAGTATTAATGACCACTGATGCTACCAGGAGCCCAGGCTCTTCCCATTTTTCTGTTCCTCTGTCCTTAGCATAGACCTCATTCTCAAGTCTCTTGTCTCATGGTTACAAGATGGCTGCTGTACCTCCACACCTCACATTGATGTTCCAGGCAGAAAGAAGAGGAAGGGTGAAGGGATGAAGGGCCTTCCCTTAGCAAGTCCTTACCTTCTTATTCAGGAGGGCGAAACCCTCCCTAGGGCCTGGATAAGCCCACCAATGGTGTCTGTTTTATATTAACTATCTCATGTAATCCCTATTTTAACCCTTTGAGGTAGGGAATCTTTTTTTTTCTTGAGTTAGGATCTCATTCTGTTGCCCAGGCTGGAGTGAAGTGGCATGATTTCAGCTCACTGCAACCTCCACCTCGAGGGTTCAAGTGATTCTGTTGCCCCAGCCTCCTGAGTAGCTGGGATTATAGGTGCCCGCCACCACACCCAGCTAATTTTTTTGTATTTTTAGTAGAGACGGGGTTCTGCCATGTGGACCAGACTGGTCTTGAACTCCTGACCTCAGGTGTTCCGCCCACCTTGGCCTTTCAAAGTGCCGGGATTACAGGTGTGAACCACAGCACCAGGCCTTAGGGAATCTTTTCTCAGGCAGGGTGAGGTGGTTCATGCCTGTAATCGCAGCACTTTGGGAGGCCGAGGTGGGCGGATCCCCTGAGGTCAGGAATTCAAGACCAGCCTGGCCAACATGGCGAAATCCTGACCCTACTAAAAATACAAAAAATTAGTCAGTTGTGGTGGCGGGTACCTGTAATCCTAGCTACTGAGGAGACTGAGGGAGGAGAATAGCTTGAACTCAGGAGATGGAGGATGCGATGGGCCAAGATTGTGTCTTTGCACTCCAGCATGGGCAGTAAGAGTGAAACTCTGTCCAAAAAATATTTTTTTTTTCTTTGCCTTACAGATGAGGAAATATAGACTCAAAGTACTTGTGGAATTTGCCCAAGGTCATACTGTAAGTGGCAGATCTAATAGTGACAATAAGAACAGATTATGTTTCTTTCTAGCCTATGTTTCTTTCTTCCTTTTTTTTTAGAGATGGGGGTCTTGTCTAGCCTGTGTTTCATCTTTATACACAAAGCACCTGCTCATTCACTTCTTCCTTTGGGTCTCTCAGAACTCTTTGAGATGGGCAAGGCAGGTATTAGAATATTCTCATTTTCCAGAATGGGAGCTGGAGACCCAGAGAGGTAAGCCAGGCCTTGCCTGAGATACCCAGGTGGCAACTTTCAGAACTGGGATTCGATCTCAGGTCCAGTGTCCTGGCTTCTGGACCCCACTGGCTCAGTGTGATCAAGGGACAATCAGTTCATTGAGAGAGACAGACACACAGAAGCAAAAGGGACAGATGGACCTCATGTGCTTCAGTTTTGCATAACCTTTTTTTTTTAAAGACGGGGTCTCACTCTGTCATGCAGGTTGGAGTGCAGTGGTGCAGTCATAGCTCACTGCAGCCTCTAACTGCCAGGCTCCTGTGCTGCATCTACCTCAGCCTCCCTAGTAGCTGGGACTACAGGCACATGCCACCACGTTCAGCTAATTTATATATATATGTGTGTTTTGTCTTTTTGTTTTTTTCCTTTTTGTGGAGAAGGGGGTCTTGCTATATTTCCCAGGCAGGTCTTGAACTCCTGGGCTCGAGCCATCCTCCCTCCTCTGCCTCCCTACGAGCTGGGATTATAGGCGTGAGCCACAGCACCCAGGTAATTTTTGTATTTTTTGTAAAGATGGGGTTTTGCCATGTTGGCCAGGCTGGTCTTGAACTCTTGGCTTCAAGCAATCCACCTCCCTCAACCTCCCGAAGTGCTGGGATTATAGGCATGAGCCACTGCTCCTGGCCGGGTGCAGCTTATTGTGGTATTTCTGTCATTGCCCTGGCGGGGGTGGGGGGTGGATCTGGAGCCACAGGGTGATGAGCCAACACTTGATCTCAGACTCAGCCTCTCTCATAGACGTGGTCTGTGTTGCCTTTTTCTACCAACCGATCTCACGCCTTTTGTGGGTGTGTTTTCCAGCCCTGCTTCCAGACTGGTATTTGCTGCCAGAAGGGGAATTTTCTAGATTGAAAAGCCTGACTTTATCTTAATTGTCATCTTCCTCTCCTTGAACACAGATAGCACAGAGGAGTGGATGTTTCTTGACAACCCAGTTTGGTCATATGGCAAAATCAACGAAGAATCAGCACCCATGTCCAAGTGAGCTTTCTGCTCATTTTGATACAATTAATTATGATTGGAAGCCAGGCATGGTGGTGCACACCTGTAGGCCTGGGCAAGATGGCAAGACCCCATCTCTACAAAAATAAAAAACATCAGCTGGGTGCAGCAGTGCATGTCTGTGTTCCCTGCTACTGGGGAGGCTGAGGTGGGAGGATCCGTTGAGCCCAGGAGCTTGAGGTGGCAGTGAGCCATGATGATTGTGCCACTGCATTTCAGCCTGGGGGACAAAGCTGGAGCCTAGCTCTTAATTTTTTTTGTTTTTTCTCACAGTTCTGGAGGCTAGGAAGTCCAAGATCAAGTGCTGGAAGATTCAGTGTCTGGCGAGGTCTGCTTTCTGGTTCACAGAGGTGCCTTCTTGCTGAGATCTCAGGAGGTGGGAGGGGCTTGGCAGCTCTGGGGCCTCTTACAAGGGCACTAATTCTATTCATAAGGGCGTCACCCTCATGACCTGATCACCTCCCAAAAATCATACATCCTAACACTATCGCCTCTGAAGTTATGGATTTTGTTGGAGGCAGAAACATTCAGACTCAATAAAATATTTATTAATATGTATGAATTCTGGGAGTCAAGCAAACCTAATGAATTGATCACCACAATCAGATAAACAAAGAATATGTTGCATATTCTGTGGTTATTCCATGACTCAAAATTATGTTTTAAAATAAACCACTGTAACTTTGGGAGGCTGAGGCGGGCAGATCACTTGAGGTCAGGAGTTTGAGACCAGCCTGGTCAAAGTGGTGAAACCCCATCTCTACTAAAAACAGAAAAATTAGCCAAGTGTGGTGGCGGGCGTCTGTAACCCCAGCTACTCAGGAGGCTGTGGCAGGAGAATCACTTGAACCTGGGAGATGGAGGTTGCAGTGAGCTGAGATCACGCCATTGCTCTCCAGCCTGGGCAACAAGAGCGAAACTCCATCTCAAAATAAAATAAACCACTGTCAAAGTAGCGTTGAAAATTAGGGAATGAGGGCTGAATCAAAATCTGCCTTCATCAAGGAAAACTTATGGTAATCATTTCTTTCCCACTTTTTTTTTTTTTTTTTT